GAGGCGGTGAGGACCAGGTGGTGAGCAGCCTCTTCCTCTCGGTCCAGGGCGTGCTCCAGCACCAGCTCTGGGCTTATGGTCCCATCGTCTCCAGTTTGCACGTCCAGGGAGAAGTGGGGATTGGGGCTGAGCTGGTAGCTCTGCAGGGAATTCACTCCCACATCCGGGTCAACAGCTTCTGGGAGTGGATAACGTGCTCCAGGAACAGCGATTTCATTAATTTTTACTTCCAGATCTTCGGCCTCAAATTTTGGGGCACTGTCGTTGATATCAGTTACTTCTATTTCTATTCCGTAAAATTTCACCCTGTCTTCAATCAGGACTTTAAAGTTCACCAGACAACGCTGGCTCTGAGCGCAGAGCTCCTCCCGGTCTATCCTGTCCGCGGTGACCAAGCTGCCACTTCGCGGGTTCAGAGAAAAAAGCTGCATCCTACCTCTGGAGACGATGCGGACTCCGCGCTCCGCCAGCTCCCGGGGCTCCAGCCCCAGGTCCTTGGATATGTTGCCCACAATATAGCCCTTTTCTGTCTCTTCAGGCACGGAGTAGCGGATCTGACTGGCCCTGACCTCCCACATCGTCCCCAGGAGGGCGCATAGCAGGACCAATCTTCTGAGGTGCTGGCATTTGGTTGGAGCTGCCATTGTTTCTTCAGTACAGAATTTTCTCAGAATGCGCTGGATGCACGCTGCCTCATTAGGTTCTTTTTTCCCTTCTGCAAAGCATGGTGATCTTTTTCCTTAGGAGAAAGCCAGAATGCCCCAAGTGAAGAGGCTAAATTTTGCTGCAGCCTAGGAGCCGGCTTTGTGAATCTGCTGGGCTTTGTGTATTGCAGAACTGAAAATCCGGATGGAGTGATGTTTTTTTTTCCTTAGAGTTAGTCAACAGCGGCGCTCAGAGTCCTAAGCCATTACTACATCCACTGAGATATGCAACGCTTGATTATAGACGTTTCCTAAAGAAAACAATACTCTTCTAACTGTGATTCTATACTTCTCTGATTGTTTCTTGCATCTACATTTCAAAAGCAATGACTATTTGTAGATATCTGTATTGTAAATAAAGTGGAATAATATTTCTATAAGTATATTATTAAATCACCAGACATTTTTGCTTAATACTAACTTACTTTGATGCTTGGTAGAATTTTGCACTCTTTCTAGATATGTAAATTATTATGATT